TTCCTAATCAAAATTTGGTAGGAATCCGCTGACCTATACAAGTCTTCAGAATGTGGTTCAAGGACCCTGGCATGCTGACACCTTTTTAGGGGCTTCCCGAGATCAAAACTATTTTCATAGTAACACTAAATATTTTTAGCCTTTTTAACACATTAATATTTAACAATGCAAAGCAATGGTGTGTAAAATTTCTGGCATCTTGAAACAAATTACAGTGGTGGCACCAAACCGTACTACTAGTTATTGCATTTTTCACCATCAAACACCAGTAATTATATTTTTTAAAAAAGAGGCTTTTCACTTACGAATGACCTAAAGTAGTAAAAATTATTCATTTTATTATATCTCAGCCCTTGATTGTATGTCCTTTAATATTCCATGTGACAAAACGGTTAAGTATGCATGAAGCAGTTCTGGCTACATTCTGAATTACAACAGCCAAAGGCTGCCTTAGGTAAAAGTGCATAACTGAATTAAGAGCTTAACTAGCCTCTTTTTTCATGAAACATTGATGCCGGGGTTCTTGTTCAGGAAGGTGAAGAATGAGCTTCACAAATACTCAAGGTAGGAGAGCAAGGTACAGGCTTTTATTTAGAGATAAAGTGAAAGGACAGAGCTCCCTGCTCACGCCAGGAGGGCACAAGAGAGTCTGGGGTGGTGTGCTAAGGGTTTCATAGGCAGATGAGGATTTTTCGAGAACAGGAAAAAAAGCTTAGGGGTGTGGACTTATTAAGTGGTCCCAGGATATTTAGAATTAACTTGATACAAGTAACCTCCTGCTCTGTTGATTTCTCCTAGGAGATACCAGCATCTTGGTCTGGGGGCATATGAAACAAGGCCACCTGCTCAGCCCCCAAGGTGGGCTGAGGCATTGTTTGCTAAAGAGTAAATTAAGAGCAATCTTATCTTTAAGGTGGAATCCTTCTTGCCTTTTACTGTTATGGGGGGCTTGCATGCTAAATCAGTTTGCACAGTTCGCAAAATCACTTCATCAGATCTGAAAGAGGAAAGACAGCACACAGGCCTGGGCATTTTAGCATGTTAAAGTGAATCTTACACATGATTATAAATGATTAGCATAAAATAAACATGTGCTACTCTTCTTTATCTGGGATAAAGATAACTGATCTCACTGAAGAATGACCCTAGAGCTTAACATTTAACAGAGTTTTGGTAGGGGGTTTCCTTGCATGTAGTTACATTGATCTGACTGCAAATATCCTGCCTTGTTTTTTCCGGAGGCCCTCACCCTACTCTGACTACACCCACGGTCCCCGTCTCAACATCATTTTTACTTGAAAGGATGAGTACTGTTATTAGACTTAGGTTCTTTGGCAGAGGTTCTCTCAGAGATGATCAAAGTCTGCCTGCTGCTTCTGGGAAACCACTAGCAGTCATATTTGTTGCCAATGAAAAAATCTGAGCTTGCAAGTAAAAACCAGATTTCTGGAAAACTGGTATTCACCATCATATCATGACCTTACAGCTTCTCAATAATTTGTTTCTGATAGAATGAGTGATGATACTAACAAACGTGATTTTTTGATACTGTATAACAAAATGAGTCAACATTTGGAAGATCTGCATAACTGACTGAATCAGTATTTACAAATGATGGAGGCATGAGGTTATAAATTCAGGCATGGTTTTAAAACACTTAACATTCAGGTGGATTAAAATCAATGGATTTTAACATAGTATTATGAAAAATTCCACTGACAGGATTTCAGATTCCATAACGCAAATAACTGAAAAACCACCATAAGTTGAGTTTTGAAGTAATACCAAACAATATCCATAATTATCTGAAAAGGTGATTAAAGTAGCCTTTTCCAGCCATTAAACGTATAAGGCTGGATTTTCTCCTGACATATATACACTTTAAGCCAAACTACATGTTGCAACAGACTGAATACAGCAGCAGATATGACAATGTAGCTGTTTCTATTAAACCAGACTTTAGAGATTTACAAAAATGCCACTCTTCTCACTACCATATCTGCTTTGAAAAAGTCATTTTTCATTAAAAATGTTTATATTAACATATAATTGTCATCCTTAAATGAATTTAAAATGTCTATATCTTTTTAATTTATAATGTAATAAATACAGATATAACTCACAAAAGTTCTTTGGGGTGCTCAATAATTTTTCAAGAGTGCAAAAAGTATACTGAGACTGAAAACTTGAAAACATTTGATTTAAAAAAAGAGTATGAATATCAGATCCCTGCAGAACCAAGAACATGAAGTATATAAAATCATTAATTTAAAAACAACTTTCCTAGGAAAATTACATGAAAGTTGAAAAGAAACACAATGTCCAATCTAATCTCACTCTGTGTAACATCAAATAAAGAAGAAAACAAAACAAAGAAGGCTTAGATGAAAGCGATTTTGCATATCCTGGAAATATCAGTCTCTTGATCAGATAAACACAGGTATTACCTATTAATAGTTTGACATATTTTTGATAGCACATGACAGTCAAAGAAACACACAATCAGACTCAAAAACAGGTGATTAAAATAGCAGCCATCACCACCCTGAGGGCGACAATCCAAGATTCTGTCAGAACAGACAAACAGGAATACTTTGGCAGTCCTCAGGCAGCATCTCGGAGCACCCAGCTCAGGGTCTAGCTACTCTATTTAAAATGAAATTACATGCTGCCACGGTGGGACAGTGAAACTAAGCTCTCATTTAGCCCCAAAGGAGCAAATGGGTCATAGTGGAATTAATCTGCACTAATAATGTTCCATAAGCCCAAAGCCCTTCTTTCCGCCTTCTAGATCCCTTGGAAGACTGAGGAAAAGCAATAGAATAATAATATTTACTGAGCACTTTCTACATGCCAGGCACAATGGGCTAAGCACTTCATGTGTATTAACTCTTTAATATGCAAGATCATCTTAAGGGTATAACCATTATTTTACCCATTATTGGAGTTAAGAAAAGTGAAGCGCAAAGGATAAATAACTTGCCTATAGCAAAACCAAACTTCACATCCAGCCAGTCTGGCTCTGAGGCCCAACCCCTTGGCCACTTCACTATAATACATGGGCACAGCAACCAACAAAAATATATATGTGAAGTTTAAAATTTAGTGTCCACTCTAAACAATTTCTGTTGTGAGACCCATGGCCTACGGGAAGCTACCAACTTGAAGAGAGCCCTCTGAACACCCATTACTACAGATGCACTGTTCATTCCCCAGATACTGAGGGATTTCAAACACGAAGAGCAGATTTTGGAAGTTGAATACTGTAGAGGAGATTTTTCCTTAAACTCTAAAATATAGAATACAATACAAATTAGATAATTTCACAAGTTTAAGGCCTACCTCTTTTCTTTCTACTATTGAAAACAAAAGCATTATCATGTAAGTCTAGCTCGACTGTTCTAAAGAGAATAATGCCTCAATTCAAGTCAGTTGGAAGCTCTATAAAAATTGCTTCTACAAAAGCTTAAATTACATTAATACAATTAAATGTTTTGCAGTGTTGGCTAATTACAAGGTAACTCTAAGTTCATCCCCTTCATTTCAGAATTTAGAGTGAGACTGCAGTTTTAAACATGTGTTGAAACAATACAAGGCAGAGTTTTGAGGTCATTAAAAATGAACCTATAACTTCACTGTAGAACTTGACTCAAGAAAGTGGAATGGGAAACTGAACAAGTCATACTACAACTCTCCTTAAGGATGAAAAGTAAGGAGTGGATTAAGACACCACTAAATAACTCACAGTAATTACACAGGCAAAGCTTATAGATCCTTCCAGGGTCTAGTTTGGTTTTGATTACCATATGGCACGTTTTAAAACAAGTACCACTTACATTGCCTTAAATGAACTACTACTTTTTTGGCCTAGTGGCAGCGACAACCGAGGCGGCGGAGACAACGGAGGCAGCGGAACCTGTCTGCCTCCGGGCAACGTCAGCGCCAAAAAAAAATTTACACAGAATTAATACAGCCAAAGAAAATTTTTTCTGAGAGTTACAACACAGGTATCAGCGGCGCTAGAACTTTAAGCACTTGAGCAAGCTATACTAAAACGAGAGAGAGGATTTAAATTCACCAACATTCCACATCGATTACACTAAAATGTATAAAAACTTCTATAATGGATAAATGACCAGGAAAGAAAACCAAACGATTCAAAACTGCACCGGTACTAAAAGGAGGCTCAACTGGCACACGAGGGCAAACAGCCGTAGAGACAGGCAAGCCTTTGCATTGGGATTCCAGGAGTCCTTTAATACCAGCGATTAAAAACCAGCAACTCAGGAAGAAAGACGGTGGGGACACTCTGCACTGTCATCTAGGGAGATCCGATCAGGTTCAAATCAAACAGATAAAGTGCTAAGTTGTAAACAGTGAACACACTTCAGGCCAAACCATCCATTCGGAGGAAGCAAACCTAACCATCGCCGCTGTCACAACACACACACAAAGGCCCCCCCCGGAAAACCGCACGCCTAGAGGGTGGGGTGCTAGGGCGGGTGGGGAGGAGGGCCGCGCGCCTGCCCCCGGCCAGCAGCTCCTCGGCTGTGCTCTGCTCTGCAAGGCAGCGACCGGCGACGGCAGCCAGGAGAAAGGGCAGGGAGCTGGGGCCGCCGCTGCCCGGAGACTGCGCAGGGGACCCTCCGCAGGGATTCTGGCGGGGGCGACCGAGCGTCCGCGGGTGGGGGGTGGGGCTGGGGGGAGCATTTTTCCAGAGAGCATCCAAAGCCCCAGCCATCAGGGTTTCCCTCAAGATCAGATCCATCCCCAAAGATGCGCGTTACACAACCTGTCAGGTGAGGGGAGGAGGGGTCCCAGGGCGCAGACCGCGGCGGGCAGGGGTCGCTCCTTCCCCTTTCTCCCCACAGGGATGCCGTGGCCGGAGAAGAGGGGAACACAGCGGAGGGCGGCAGGTGGGCGGGAAAGCCGCGGCCGAGGGGCTGCAGGTCCGACGCGCGGACGGCTGCGGGACGCGCAGACGGCGGCGGGGCGCTTACCGGCTCAGGTGGGGCGCTGGCAGGACTAAGCACAACCGCAGCACAAGTCTCGGCGCCGGCAACACCGGCGGCTGCTCTCTGGGCGCACGGCAGATCCCTCGCAGCCCACTGCTGGCTGTTTTCATACGAACCCGGGAGCAGGTAAGGCGGAGGCGGCGGAGGCGGCGGAGGCGCGCCGACGGCGGAGGCGGTGGAGACGGCGGAGGCAGCGGGACCTGCCTGCATCCCGGACAACGTCAGCGCGGCGCCCCGCCCACCGCACGCCTCGGCCAGCCGTCTTGCGCGCGCAGAACAGGAGGGATGGCGGAACGCGCGTGCGCGTGGGCGGCTTGGGTACGCGTCGTGGGGAGGACGGGCTCTTGCGGGCAGGAGGGGGAGTGGTTCGGGGGACGCGAGGCAACAAGGAGGGAGCGCGCGCCGGCCTTGGGAGCGGCGGGGCGGGCACAGTGCAGCAGGATCCCGGGTGCCTCCGCCGCCGGCCCACCGACCAGAATGTGTTGGCGGGCCGCTGGGTTCCCAATTAGAGCTCCCGCTTTTTCCCCGAACTAAGCCGGTGCCCACCCTCACTATCGTCAATCACCCACCCTCTTACGACCCTGTTAAGAACCGGACCAGCTGTAACTCCCCAAGTGGCACTGAGTTCGCATCAGACCCTGGGGAGAGTCTATAATAAGAAGGTGGAAGACAAGCCGTCATCAAGCTGGGCTCCCAGAACACAACCAAATTGCACCTCGTAACCAAACCTCAATAAATTAGATACCTAGTGCTGCAGCAAACAAAATAACATGCTGATTTATTTTTTGCTTTTTGGTAATGTGCCTACGTATAATCACGAAAATGGTAGTGCTAAATTGTCCACTGAAGGAATGTTTTATCTGAGCCAAAGTAATGTGTCAGAGATTAAATACTGATGCACTTCCTTCTGTTTTGACTGCACGTAAACACACTATAGTATATTCCTGATAATGAGATTTACTTTTTGTCTAGAGAATGGATCATGTGTGCTAATGCTTATTATAGTAGCTGGTAATATATATAAAATTATTACAACCAGATAGGGAAATAAATTGAGAGCTGTGAGGTTTTTGTTTTGTTTTCTTATAATGTTTAAAGGAAATTAAGCAGGTGTAGACAGTTCAAAAAGTAATCCAAGATGTACCACCCATGCTTCTTGCAGTTGCCCTTGGCAGATGTCTTTATTCAGATAAACAGGCTGCCATTTTATAAGTGCCATAGTTCCCTGATTGTGAGCGCCAAAGTTATGATATTTTAAATAATTTTTAAACAACGACCCTCCCAAATCACCCAGTCTGAAAATTGCATTATCCGAGAACGCCTAATTACCTAATACTTAACATTTTACAGAAATTAAATATATGCAGTATATATGAAGCTTTATTTGAGGTGCATCTTCCTAAGTCAATCAACCTGCAATATAGAAAGACGTGAATGTGTGTGTTTGTAGAATTTGAATTCCACTGTAGCAATGAATTGTTAGTGTGGTTTGATGGCCAGGACACAGACCCAGTAGATTAACTCACCCAACTAGGTAAAATGCAGAACCAGTCCCTGTTGTCACTCTTCCATTCTTTTAAACAGAGTACTCAACATACCTTATTTTGATATATAAAGCTAAATAGAAATAACTGTGTGATGTAAATCAGAGTATAGTATATAATGATTTCATTTAATGGGTTCCTCAAATCAGCCTAGTCAGCGCCTTGTAGATATTCAATAACCATTTGCTTATTTTAACTTTGGACTAGGTGGGGAGTGAAAGGTGAGCATTGAAGCTCAGCTCTCTTCTTTTGCTAATTTCCTTACCTCAATAATTTAATAGAGTATCTTAGAAAATGCAAAAAAGTTTGTAACAAAACTCTATAGCCATAGGTTTAAAATAGGCATGGACCTTTCAAAAGTCTACAGTCATAATAACATACATAAATTTTAGGAACACAAGCTCAATCATATAGTTTCTGAAACATATCCAGTCCTCTGGAGTTGTAGGATTGTTCAAAATATTCAACATCATTCAACAGTTAACAATTTATCAAGCATCTCTTACATGCCAGAAACAATCCTCCTGAAATCTTCTAAGAGATAAGCAAATGATAGCATTCAACAAAATACTTAACAGTTGCCCTATGTCAAATTAAAAGGTTTATCAGGAATATAGACGACAGAGCAGAAAAGCAGGAAGAACAGCCTGAGCTGAACCTAAATGCATGTGACAAGGCTGGGAAATAGAAGCAACCCCAGCATTGCGCATGATGGAGTCATTCAGGAGGCAAACCTTTAAAGTGGCAAATGGTTTCCAGTAGTTATGTGGTATGCTGTGAATGATACATGTGATTCAGGGTCAGAAAACTTGAGTTAAAAGATCCATATCTGTAAACCACTACACCATCACTTTATTTATGAAATGGAGCTTGACTATTTCTGCCAAATCTAAAACTTAAAAATACAGCATACCCTTTGAGCTACTTACAGAAATTTATCTTAAGGAAATACAGGGAAGTGTGCAGAGATTTAGCTCTAAGGATGCTTATCCCAGAGTGGTATTATAAACCACCTTAAATGTTCAACAGAAGGCACCTGATTAAACACATTATTGTACATCAATGCAATAGATAACTAGGAAGCCACTAAAAATGATGTGGTAGAGTAGTTCTTAACCTGCATACAGGAGGCTTTATTCATGAACAGCCATGGACTTACCATGAGGCTAATAAAGTAAGGGACTAAAAAAGTCCTTTCAGCCTCTCACTTATGCAAGCCAATGTGAGTGCTGAGTTGCTGAGAGTTAAAAGCATTTGTTTGAATTCGAAAGGGAATTCGGGTTGCAATCAAGAAGCATTCCTACAAAGCATTTCTGGTAAATTTCCTGAACAGATCTTATCTTAAAGGACCTAAATCTTCAAACCTCCAGCAAGACATTGTGAATTCTCATTCTAAATAAATATTCATATTCAAATATAATTACAGGGCTCCCCAAAGTATGAGAAAAAGGAAATGTCCTATCATTTTCAGGGCTCCCCACAGTGTGAGAAAAAGGAAATGTCCTATCATTTTCAGGTCAATTTCTCAATTTTACCATCTAGACAAGTGTTTTGTTTTGTATTTTTCTTAATAACAAAAATAAAATAAACTTTTTAACAAAAAATAACAAAAAATACTCTTTTCATATTTAATAAAACTGTTCAGCATTTCCAAGATTCCCTCATTATTAACTAATTTGAAAACATTAAAGAAAGTTTTATATCAGCTAACAATTAATTAGATTGAAACTTAGAAATGGAAAATCAAAATTCAGTTCACTTTCTCCCACTTAAGAAGCTCTCTGAATACAGTCGGTAGTTCTGTAACATCTTCCTTTGTTGACAGATAGTAACTACACTAGTTAAGGTAAGGATTCAATAATGTATATAACTATCAAATCACTATGTTGTACACTTGAAAACAATATGATATTGTATATCAGCAATACTTCAATTTTAAAAAATATAAAAAAACAAGAAACCTTTCTATGTTTAATACTGAAGGGTCCCCACCAGTAAGATGGCAAACTTCCAGCTTCTCTTTGGGGTCCTCGGTTCCCGCCGGTGCCACCTGAAGCCCAATCACCTCTCGCCCTCCTCCCAATCCCAGCACCTAGCCAACAGCCACCAGCCCCGTAGAAGTAACACCACAATCACCCTATGCCCCTTCCTATATAACCCAACACCTTTCCCTAATAAAGTGGAATTCTC